GGTCCTCCAGGTATTTGGGACTTCACCTCCCACAATTCAGGCCCCTTCCTTTCCCCCCTTAGCCACTTAAGCCCTCCAAGTGTTGTATCTTGGCGGTGGGTGCATAGGTGGCTGTGGAGCCCTATTCTTGATCTGCATGTACTTCCAGAGTGAGGGCATCAGTTTCCAAGTGGAAGGCAGTCCCAGTCAGGGTTGGCTTGATGCACCTTCCTCTTGGCACATTTCTTCCTTTCACCCTTCATTCTTGCCTCTTCCCTGGAGTGTGGTGGAGGCTCCTTCTTTGGAAGCTTTTAAGCAGAGGCTGGATGGCCATCTGTCAGGGGTGATTTGAATGCAATATTCCTGCATCTTGGCAGGGGGTTGGACTGGATGGCCCATGAGGTCTCTTCCAACTCTTTGATTCTATAATTCTATGATTCCGCAGCACTGCTGGTCACAACTGACCTCCAGTTAGATTGCTCAACGGTCAGGGCTTGGTGTCCTAGTTCTTGGTGTCTATGCCACAATTTTTAAGGTTAGCTTTAAGCCCATCTTTAAATCTCTTTTCCTGTCCACCAACATTCCGTTTTTCATTCTTGAGTTGGAAGTATAGAAACTACTTTTGGTGATGGTGATCAGGCATTTGTACAATAGGGCCAGTCCAGTGGAGTTGATAATGTAGGAGCATCGCTTCAATGCAGGTAGTCTTTGCTTCTTCCAGCATGCTGATATTTGTCCACCTGTGTTCCCAAGATATTTGCAGGATTTTTGGTAGGCAACACAGATTGAATCATTCCAGGAATTGAGTGTGACATCTGTAGACAGTCCAAGTTTCGCAGGCATCTAGTAGGGTTGGGAGGACAATAGCTTTATAAACAAGCACCTTGGTCTCCCTACGGATGTCCCGGTCCTCATAGAATCATAGAGTTGGAAGAGACCTTGTGGGTCATCCAGTCCAACTCTCTGCAAAGAAGCAGGAAAATTGCATTCAAAGCACCCGCAGACTGATGGCCATCTAGCCTCTGTTTAAAAACCTCCAAAGAATTTTTGTATTGCCCTAAAGTGTGTAAACAGTTCTCAGTTTTTCAAAAAGTATTTAATTGACTTACCTTTTAGAATCCATATTAATTTGGCCATTTGGGCCAACTCAGCAATTTTAATGATCCATTCTTTCACTTGCAAGTTTTAGCAAACAGTATCCTTGCTGCTTTTGTTATATATCAAAGAAGTAATCCAGCTTTGCTTTCCAATTCTTTATCGTTAACCCATCACCTGATGTTTTGGCTTTGTGATTTATACCGATAATTTCTTGATTTACATATAAGTATTAGAGACTTGATGTTTCTTTTGATCTTAAAGTTACCATTTCCAGATCCAGTGGTCAATCTTGCCCTGTGTTATATCATGTGCTTTTTCTTCCTTCTTAAGCAAAGGACATATTTTAGCAAGTTATTATTATTACTATTATTATTTCGGTTACTTCTACCCCGCCCTTCTCACCCTGGAGGGGACTCAGGGCGGCTTACAAAGGCACAATTTGATGCCGGCATCAACATAACAGTAGAACAAAAACAATATAGCAGCAATTAAACAATTAACAATCAGTTTCTGCATTACAACAATAAAACCAATAAAACTAGTTTCATCTAATTAACGTTCAGCGTTCGCCATCTCATAGTCCAAATTCCAATTCCACTTTGTCAGTCCTGCCAGTCCTAGTCATCTGATTGTCCTTATCTAGTTGTCAGATTGCCCGAAGGCCTGGTCCTGCAACCATGTTTTTAATTTCCTCCTGAAGGAGAGGAGGGATGTTGATTACCTGATTTCCCCCGGGAGTGAGTTCCACAGGTGAGGGGCCACCACTGAGAAGGCCCTGCTCCTCGTCCCCACCAACTTCACTTGTGATAACGGTGGGGTCGAGAGCAGGGCCTCTCCGATGATCTCAAACTCCGGGGTGGGACGTAGAGGGAGATGCGTTCGGACAGATACGCTGGACCGGAACCGTACAGGGTTTTGTAGGTCAGGACCAGCACCTTGAATTGTGCTCGGAACTGAACCGGCAGCCAGTGGAGCTGACACAAAAGGGGGGTGGTGTGCTCCCTGTATGACACACCGGTGAGTAATCTGGCTGCCACTCGCTGAACCAGTTGAAGTTTCCGAACAGTCTTCAAGGGCAACCCCACGTAGAGTGCGTTGCAGTAATCTATTCGGGATGTAACAAGAGCGTTATTTGATGCACTCTTGGATCTTGGCTTCTATGTTAGCACAGTGATGGATCTACTTCACACTTTAGAACAGATTTTAAAGGAGCTCTCCAAGCTTCTTAATATGGGGTTTTCTGTATCCCTGCATTTATTAAGGTTGGTACCATGGACAGTTCTTTTGCGATGTGAATTACAAGCCAGAGGAAATTCACTGTTGCTTGTGGTCGCTGAGCACTCTCAAGGTCTAAATCCAATTCCCATTAAAGGATGGGAATTAAATACATGTTGAATTTATTTAGCACTAAGTTTAGGAGGCTTTCTCTGGTTGCAAGTGGCAAGCAATCTTTTACTTGGATGATTCTGAAAGAATAATGTTAAGGCCCTTTCATATTACACTATTATAGCACTATGATTCCACTTCAGTTGCCTTGACAACATCTTATGGAATGTGGAGGTTTGTATTTTTGGTGAGGCACAAACTCTCTAGTAGAGAATTCTAAGTATGCCTCTCTAAGCTGTACATCTCAGGAGTTCACAGCATGTTGCCATGGCAGTTAGAGTGGAATCATCCCACTATAATTATATTGTATGAAAAGGCTGGAATTAGAAGTGTGATGGGAGAGAGGATGGTGATGTGTTTGACACAAACTGCATGAGGCTGAACAAGTCGAATAATTTTGCAGATGTCACTAGGAGTGGATTTAAAAACAATGTTAAAGGAAACTTACTTTACTTACTTACTTACTTACTTACTTAGGCGATCCCTCGTTGGACAAGTAGGATAGTCTTCCATGATCAGTATTCTTGTGGATTCGTAGGTGGCTGTGGAGCCCTATTCTTGACCTGCATCTTCTCCCACAGTGAGGACATTGGTTTCCAGGTGGAAGGCAGTCTTGGTCAGGGTTGGCTTGACCCGCCTTCCTCCTGGCACATTTGTCTCTTTCACCCTCCGTTCATGCCTCTTCAAATTCTGCAGCACTGCTGGTCACAGCTGACCTCCAGCTGGAGTGCTCATGGGCCAGGGCTTCCCAGTTCTCCATGTCTATGCCAGATATTTTAAGGTTGGCTTTGAGCCCATCTTTAAATCTCTTTTCCTGCCCACCAATATTCCGTTTTCCGTTCTTGAGTTCGGAGTAGAGCAACTGCTTTCGGAGAAGGTGGTCGGGCATCCGGACAACGTGGCCGGTCCAGAGGAGTTGATGGCAGAGGAGCATCACTTCAGTGCTGGTGGTCTTTGCTTAAAGGAAAGATATGTGCTCTTGTTGTTGAAGTTCCTGCTTTCCCCCTATTCATCCAACTACTCCCTGGCAGGGTTTCTCTGCTATGGGTACATAGGGATTTTGAACTCTGGTCTCCCCAGTTTTGCTATTTAAAAAGTCCACTCCATTACAGCACACCGTCTTTTTAAAAGCTATATCATCATGTTTCATTCCCAAATTTGAAAAGACTATGCTCCCAAGAGTGACAAGTAAATGCTGCAAAGATGTCCAAAATAAACAGGGCATGAAGGTGACTTTTTTGTTCCTCTTTGTTCATCACAATATTTTCTGACCACAATATGTTTGGCATGCTCCCAAACCTGGACATCCATTGTATGAATATATTTGGGAGCTTGCCATTCAACTTTATTTATTTATTTATTTATTTATTTTATTTAGGGCTTTTATATCCTGTCCTTTTTCAACCTCCACAGAGGCTAACTAAGTGGCAACCCCATGGCACCCACATCAAAACATAAATATACAATTAACAGCAATGTAATAATAACAATATAAAACAGTATAAACAGTATAAAACCGTATAAAGACAGACAACAAATAGTCAGTGGTCACCGATTTAAATCATTATCCAAGGTCAGTCCATCAATTCTAAATAAGTTAACACGTCAGTGGGTCAGCCTATTCTCCAAAGGCCTGATCCCATAGCCAGGACTTTACTTGTTTTTGGAAGGTCAAGAGGGATGCAGCAGATCTAATTCCACTCGGGAGGGAGTAACACTGTGATTTATTTTTATTTATCATATCAGAAGCAAACTGAGGGTACAGTTGTAATGTAGTTTTTTTTTTAAAAACACACACAAAATTTTAAAAAAACTTGGCATTATACCAAATGTCCTTTGACCAGAAGCTGGCCACTTGGGATACCTCTGGTGTTCCTGTAAGAAGTGCATGTGGCAGGGCTCAGACTGCATTGCAGTAGGTGGTCTGTGGTTTGCTCTTCTCTGCACTCGTATGTCATGGACTCCACTTTGTGGCCCCATTTCTTAAGGTTGGCTTTGCATCTTGTGGTGCCAGAGTGCAGTCTGTTCAGTGCCTTCCAAGTCGTCCAGTCATCTGTCTACCAAGGGGGAAGTCTCTCCTTGGTAGAGTATCAGCTATGGCTTGAAGTTCCGGTTTTAGCCTGCCACTTTTGGACTCTTGCTTGCTGGGGTGTTCCTGCAAGTATCTCTGTAGATCTTAAAATACTATTTCTTGATTTAAGGCATTGGAATGCTGGCTGATATTTGAACAGGGGATGGGCTGGAGATGTCACTGCCTTGGTCCTTTCATTATTGGCTGCTACTTTCTGGCGGATGTCACTTGGTGCAATACTAGCTAAACAGTATAATTTCTTCAGTGATGTGGGGCATAAACATCATGTGATAATGCAGCATGTCTCATTGAGGCACATCCACTGTTTTAGTGTGCTGAGATGTGTTTCACATTGGGTATGCATACTCAGCAGTGGAGTAGCAAAGTGCAAGGGCAGATGTCTTCATTGTATCACCGTAACAGCGTGATAATGTTTTTCTTTCTTCTCTGTACTGTCTCTTACCAGTTACACCTGAAGCGATTGGATTCCTCTCTGCTGTTGGGGTCTTCATTGTCCTCCTTGGAGTCCTCTTCCTTTTCATCAACAAGAAGCTTTGCTTTGAGAAGATTGGAGGTCTTCCCTGCTTGGAACAACCAGGAAAGCGCAGGCGCGACAAAGAGAAATCTGGGGTGCGGGAAGGACTTGGTAAGGTCCTCAATGGTAGTGTCTCTTCTTTCTCTATCACTTACTTCTGGTATCTCTTGCATGCAAAGCTTTCAACTGGCCAGAACTTCTTCATCTCAGCTTCCAATGTCTCTTTGGCTTTTCCTTGAACTTCGATCAGTCATGATATTTATGAGAATGAACTGCTCAACATAATGAAGCCATTTAATCTTTCCCACTCCCTACCATCCTTACGCCGTAGGAAGTATAATGTGGGTGGAATGCACAAGCCACAGTGCAATTGTTGTTTTCTCTATGAGTAAATTTAATTAATTAGAATCACACCTTTCTCTCAAAATTTGATTCGCTGCACTGCCACTTCTTTCACAGGCCTTTTTGTATATTAATTACTAGCGAGATAGTGCTTTTGCATTCATGTCCTGCTTGTGAGTTTCCCATAGGTAAATGGTAGGGTTACCAAGCTAAAAATGGGACAGGGCTTCTATACTTCTTAAGAGTGAGTAGATCCTGAAACTAGAAAACATAGACTAGCATACGTAACGGCTGTTAGGAATTGTGGGAGTTAAAGTCCAAAACACCTGGAGGGCCCAAGTTTGCCCATGTCTGGACTAGCAGAGCTACACAATGTAGACATATAGGTTTCAATGGCTACACAGAGAAGCCATTGAAATCACAAGTATGTGGACAATTTGAAGAAATGTATTGTCGAAGGCTTGCATGGCCGGAATCACTGGGTTGTTCTGAGGATGCTTGCCATAGATGCAGGCGAAACGTCAGGAGAGAATGCCTCTAGACCATGGCCATACAGCCCAAAAAAACCTACAACAACCCAATTTGAAGAAAAAGGAAGAAACTATGAAAATGAACAAAATCTGGCTACCAGTATTAAAAAAAAACTTTAAAATCAGGACAGTAAATAAAGAACAACACTCAAAAAGCAAGGGAATTCCAGAAAAGAATCAGTCAGGGCCAGCTAACATCTCCCAACAAAGGATTCCTCTAAGCAGCAACCAGCCAGGCTTTGAAGCTGCAAGGCCATTAAATGCTAATCAAGGTGGCCTCAAGCAAACAATTCTTTCTCCCACCCTGGACATTCCACAGATATATAATCCCCACTTGCCCAGTTTCCAACAGACCCCTCAACCTCTGAGGATGCTTACCATACTCTGACAGTAGGGGTGATGAATCTACTCTGGGTTTCATGTATTGTCGAAGGCTTTCATGGCCAGAATCACTGGGTTGTTGTAGGTTTTTCAGGCTGTATGGCCATGTTCCAGAAGCATTCTCTCCTGTCGTTTCACCTGCATCTATGGCAGGCGTCCTTGGAGGTACTGAGGACCTCACAACCTCCGAGGATGCCTGCCATAGATGCAGGCAAAACATCAGGAGAGAATGCTACTGGAACATAGTCATGCAGCCCAAAAAACTCACAGCAACCCACTACACATGTCTTTTTCTACCACTTTTTAGCTGTTGACCCCCTCCCCTCAAGACGCCAGTTTCTTGAATATTGGAAACTAAAGGATGGAGAAAGTTCATCTGTGTTGCTATAGTTGGATCCACAGTGCTAAAGGATGATGTCAGTGCTGTGTGTCTAACTTTAGCCATATAGCTGTATGTTTCCCCACCACCTCTTCTCTGCTCTCCACCAGCCAATATGTGTGCAGCTAAAAATGAGTTTAGTGAGATGAAGGAGGACACATTTCTTAATTCTGCCTGGTACAACATCTTCTTGCTTCAGGATCTGTTAACTAGCAAGGTTCCAGAAGCCATGCTCAATTTTCGACTTGACCCCTCTACAACTGTGTGGACCCAGTGCTGGACTCTATAAGTCTGTCTCTGTTCTTACATTAATTTTGGAGGCAATTTTCTTGTTGACATTCTATTATTATCTGACATGGTAGCCTTATTGTACAGGTCACTTTAAAGCAGCAGTTCTCAACCTTTGGCTCCCCAGGTGTTTTAGCCTACTATTCTCAGAAATCCCAGCCAGTTTACCAGCTGTTAGGATCTCTGAGAGTTGAAGGCCAAAAACATCTGGGGACCCCAGGTTGAGAACCACTGCTTTAGAGCCTCCAGTTACTGAAGGGGATAAAATGAAATGCAAAGATACAGAATGGGGGACACCAGGCTTGAAAGCAGTCCATGTGAAAAAGATCTTGGAGTCCTCATGGTCAACAAGTTAAACATGAGCCAACAATGTGATGTGGCAGCTAAGAAAGCCAGTGAGATTTTGACCTGCATAAATAGGAGTCTAGTGTCTACTCTAGATTGAGGGAAGTCATGCTCCTCCTCTATTCTGCCTTGATCAGATGACACCTGGAACTACACTGTGTCCTATTCTGGGCACCGCAATTTGAAGGGAGATGTTGACAAGCTGGAATGTGTCCAGAGGAAGTTGACTTAAATGATTAGGGGTCTGAAGAACAATCCTATGAGGAGCGGCTTAAAGAGCTAGCCATGTTTAGCCAGCAGAAGAGAAGGCTCAGAGGAGACATGATAGCCATTTATAAAAAAAGGGGGGGAAGTCATAGGGAGGAGGGAGCAGGCTTGTTTTCTGCTGCCCTGGAGACTAGGACATGGAACAATGGCTTCAAACTACAGGAAAGGAAATTCCACCTGCACATTAGGAAGAACTCACTGTGAGAGCTGTTCAGCAGTGGAACTCACTGGCCCAGAGTGTGGTGGAGTCTCCTTCTTTGGAGGCTTTTAAACGGAGGCTGGATGGCCATCTGTCAGGGGAGATTTGAATGGATTTTCCTGCTTCTTGGCAGGAGGTTGGACTGGATGGCCCATGAGGTCTCTTCCAAATCTATGATGGATTCTATTTGAAAAAGCAGGACAAGAGATGATCAATCGGGCCTCTCCCAGCTAGACTGGGATAGTTGGAGGAGATGTTGGTGCAGCTCGAGTTTTATTTTTTTCTTTAAAAAAATTATTTATAAATTTATCAAATAAAATGGATAAGCATACATTCTTCCCTCTTTTTACAACATCTTAGACAGAAGAGTATGTCATATTATATGCAGTCTAACAGTAAAAAAATAATAAAAAACATCTTTAAGCATATTTCTTATCATTTTTTTAACTTTCCATTACAACTTATACTACGTATACTTCTATCATACACCTTTTATCTACTTATGCATGTTTTATTTCTTTATAATTAGTATTATACAATTTCCCCCTTCTTCCCCTTACCCTTCACCAGGACCAGCCTACTCTTGTTATTGTTGTTGTTGTTCATTCGTTCAGTCGTCTCTGAACTCTTCGTGACCTCATGGACCAGCCCACGCCAGAGCTCCCTGTTGGCCGTCACCACCCCCAGCTCCTTCAAGGTCAGTCCAGTCACTTCAAGGATGCCATCCATCCATCTTGCCCTTGGTCGGCCCCTCTTCCGTTTGCCTTCCCCTTTCCCCAGCATAATTGTCTTCTCTAGGCTTTGCTGTCTCCTCATGATGTGGCCAAAGGACTTCATGTTATTACACATTTCCAAAATGCCACTGTTTCTGTTGCTGGCTTATACCCCTTTCCCTCATTAAAAACATACTCAATAAATTTTCCCCATATTTTCCAGAAATCTGTTTGTTTCCATATTCCCCTTTTAATTTTAATATTGCAAGTTAGCTTATCATTAATAGCTATATTCCAAATTTCCCTATACCATTCTTCTAATTGAATTCCTTTTTTCTTCTCTTTTTTTCCTTTTCCAGTTTTTTTTGCTATTAGCAATTTAGCTGCTGTTATCAAGTTAGAAACCAATTCGTTCTCCTCTTGTGAGGGAATTATAGCATGAGTTTTCTGACTAGAATGTCAAGAGTAGACATGACATGGTTCAAGGAGCCCCCGGTGGCACAGCGGGTTAAACCCCTGTGCCGGCAGGACTGAAGACCGACAGGTCGCAGGTTCGAATCTGGGGAGAGGTGGATGAGCTCCCTCTATCAGCTCCAGCTCCTCATGCGGGGACATGAGAGAAGCCTCCCACAAGGATGATAAAAACATCAAATCATCTGGGCGTCCCCTGGGCAACGTCCTTGCAGACGGCCAATTCACTCACACCAGAAGCGACTTGCAGTTTCTCAAGTCACTCCTGACATGACAAAAAAAATTGACATGGTTCAGCAGTTCAAAAAGGATATTGGCACCCTAGAATGTGTCCAGAGAAGGTTGACCCAAACAATCAGAAGTTTGGAAACCAAGCCCTATGAGGAGTGGCTTCTGGAGCTGGGTATGTTTAGCTTGGAGAAAAGAAGGCTAAGAGGGGATAAGATGTCTATGTTTAAATACTGGAAAGGATGTCACATTGAATAAGGGGACAAGCTTGTTCTTTGGAGACTAGGACATGGAGCAGTGGATTCAAATTGCAGGAAAAATGATTGCACCTAAATACTAGTAGGAACTTCCTGATTATTAGAAATGACCAGCAGTGGAATACTCTGGGTTGTTGTAGGCTTTTTCGGGCTATATGGCCATGTTCTAAAGGCATTTTCCCCTGACATTTCACCTGCATCTATGGCAAGCATCCTCAGAGGTAGTGAGGTCTGTTGGAACTAGGAAAAAGGGTTTATATATCTGTGGAATGACCAGGGTGGGACAAAGGACTCTTGTCTTCTGGAGCTAGGTGTGAATGTTTCAACTGATCACCTTGATTGGAATACTCTGCTTTGGAACATGGTGGAGATGCCTTCTCTGGAGGTTTTTAAACAAAGGTTGAATGGCCATCTGTTGAGAGAGATGAGATTGTGTATTTCAATGTGACAGAATGGGATTGTACTGGATGTGGTCTCTTCCAACTCTAGTGTTCTATTCCATCCCAAGAGGCATTTTGAGGAACAGAATTTTGCTTCTTGCCCAACCACCAATTTATATCTCATTTCAGATGTGCAAGAATAAGGCATTCATTGTTGCTTTCCATCCAGTTTTATTCTCCTCTGCCCTCTTAAGCATTACATAAACACAGATAGTCTTCTGTATGTAAAAAAAACCACCCTCTTCTTGTGTGAATATTGCAAAGCCTTTCTTCCTCTTGACAAGTGGTGTGATGTGAGGGCCTTTGAAAACGACAACATCTCTCCTTCGCGGTGTGTGGGTGTTGACGCTTTTTGGAACTGCCACAGACGATCAGGCAAACGTGTATTTATTGAAGCTTTTAAAAATGTGAATTATTAATAAACAGGGCAGGTTTTAAAATGGAGTAAAGTGGGAGTGGAGTGAGGTGGGAGAGGACTTGCTTCCCTGCTGTAGCAATTTGCCTTTGAAAGTAATTCTCCCATGATTGACAAATCAGTCCTGGAAAATGTGATTCTTACAATGGAAAGATTTGTACCACTTCTAACTATGGCTCAGTATTATAGTTTAGACCTGGGGTTGTGTCTAATGTCAATGGGAATGATGGTTTTTCTGGGACTGTGCCTGATGTCAATGGGGATGAGGGTTTTCTTGGCCTGAGTCAAGCCCAGGCTTTGCTGAGAGGCCTGAGGTTTCTCATGAACTGGATGTTTTGCCAGCAGATTCCCAAGGTCAAATTCCTGGGAGAGACCCACAGCAGTCTTTCTCTGAGAAACTGTCTTCTGAGGATGATTTGTCAGGTGCAGAATTTAATGAGTTTGAAGATAGAAAACAAGACTTTTCTAAACTAAGTCAAAGTACTCAAGATCGGCAGAGGTCAGTCGTCTGCTATAAAATAGAGATAAGAAATCCTTATCTGGTAGTAAGGGAAAACAAAATGCTTTCCTTTTGCTTCATGGGACAAGAAAAGCTTTATATGATACATGGAAAGGAATCTAGCTCAGTCTCGTCAACGTTGGAGTTTCATGACGGTCTTGTTTCCAAGTGGATTTCTAGTTTCATGTTTCAAGTTTTGCCAGGTTCCTGTTCTGGACATTGGACTTGGGTTTCACATCTTTGGATTTTGTGTTTTTAACTTCGTACCGTGAGGTCCATGGACTATCTGTACTCTTTGGAAAATACTGTTTTGGACTACAGTGTTCCCTCATGACTTCGTGGTTCGCTTTTCACGGACTTGCAGTTTTTCAGGTTTTTGAGACCTGTCTCCATTCCTTTTACTGCCCCCTCCCTTTTAAAAAGGAATATCTGTACAGGATCTGTTGCCTTGTGTGCTGCAATCTGACTCTGTTCTGTTCGCCATGGCTCTAACACAGCAGTGGATGAGCTCCCAATAAGTGAAAATCCATGAAGTAGGGATGCTCCGGCCACTCGATGGCGGGCTCCTCCTCCTCGCCCCCTCTGCTGCTCCTGGCCTCAGAGGCTCCTTGGGCACCGTTGATTGCACTGCAAGGCTGGTCTGAGCTCACCCAGTGGGTTTCATGGTCGAGCGAGGACATGGACATGGTCTCCAGAGTGATAGTTCAAAGTCACGCTGGTTAGAGGACAAGGAGGAGGCTAACCAAACCTCCTGTGAGGTTACCCATGTTCTTTCAAATGCACCTCCGATGGTGAGGCTGAGTGGCATATAGTAGTCCTAATACGATGTTGTCAGGACATGGATTTACTTATTAAATCGTTAGGTGAGCTAACTTAGAACTTCAACTCATGTGGAAACTTTAAGAATTACCTTGAAGGAAGCCACTCATCAGATTTAGTCAAAAGCAGACGCTAAGGGATGGGCACTTTTTTCCATATGCCTGTCTTATTTTTGTATGAAACGGGATGTGGGGTTGTGTGGTCCATTCCATTCCTTCCCTTCTCACCTATTTTTTTTACCTGATGTCTCTTTTATACTATAGTATTTTGGCACTTCAATAATACTGTGATTGCAATGGCTCCATTCTTAGATTTGTAGTTTTGTGAGGTATTTAGAGTTCTTTGCCAACTTACTTAGGCAATCCCTCATTGTCCAAGTAAGATTGTTCTCCAAGTGCGGTGTCCAAGTGCGGTGTCTTGGTGGTGACTATGGAGCCCTATTATTGACCTGCATCTTCTCCTGCAGCGAGGGAATTGGTTTCCAGGTGGAAGGCAGTCCTTGGCTTGATGCGCCTTCCTCTTGGCATATTTCTCTCTTTCGCCCTCCATTCATGCCTCTTCAAATTCTACAGCACTGCTGGTCACAGCTGACCTCCAGCTAGAGCGCTCAAGGGCCAGGGCTTCTCAGTTCTCTGTGTTTGTGCCAGAGTTTTTAAGGTTGACTTTGAGCCCATCTTTAAATCTTTTTTCCTGTCCTCCAACATTCCATTTTCTGGTCTTGAGTTCAGAGTAGACTGCTTTGGGAGATAGTGGTCGGGCATCCGGACAATGTGGCCGGTCCAGTGGAGTTGATGTCAGAGGACCATCACTTCAATGCTGGTGGTCTTTGCTTCTTCCAGCATGCTGATATTTGTCCACCTGTCTTCCCAAGAGATTTGAAGGATTTTTTTGGGGGCAATGCTGATGGAACCACCTGAGCTTTGCGAGTGCAGCATTCTTCCGAACGAAGCACAGAGTATTTGAGGACCAGGACACTCGTAGGGATACCAAGGTGCTTGTTTATAAAGCTATTGTCCTCCCAACCCTGGACTCTTTGCCAAGCAGTGCCTCTCCAGATTATAAATCCCAGATCATGGGGTGGCCAAAAGTTGACAGGTGACTTAAAGGGGCACATGCATAACCACATGATGAAACACGTGGAAGCATCATCATAGAAATAGAGGGGAATATTTTTTCAATGATTTCTTATTCTTATTCTTAGTGAGTCACTTTCATGAACTTCTGGTTCAGTCACTGTTTGTCCTTGGCCTTAAGGGAAGATCATGTCTTGACATTGTTTGGTATGAGTAAAGCTTTTAGCGAAAGGATATTCACCTCCTGGTTTCCTTGGTAGCCCAACCATATATCCAATCAGAACCTCTAAAGTTGTAATTAGATTTGTGCTGGTAGAACTCTTTGACCAATTTTGAAAGGGACGATATTACAGAATACTATTTTATAGAAAAGGGAGAATTAATTATAGAATTCTCCAGGGAACCAGAGTACAATAAACTTTAATTCATAGAACACAATAGAAATGACAGGGTATTGAGATTTGGTGCGCAATATTCCTGCTCCTGGTCTTAAAGACAAGCCTTGTTCTTGATCATTGCATCCTGGTCTTTCAAATCAAGAGAATCAGAAACAATATAGCTCTCTGAATAAAGATAATGGATTTCTCTGCTTCCTTTAGTGTTAGGGAATTCTAGTCATGGACTCTTACAATATCCCCCAGTAGTTTAGAAGAACTTTTGCTACTGGTGTGTATACCATGCTCAAAAGCAAGAACAGTGACAATAGCTTTTGAAGTTAGTCAATTGGAGTAGTGATCCTAAAGTTGAGATGATAGGAATTCAACTGGCTTTGACGTAGATATGCTTGTTCCATGGGAACATTGTAAGCTGGCTTGTGTCAAGTCAGACCACTGGTCCGTGTAGTTCATTACTGTCTATCACAGTGGTTCTCAACCTTCCTAATGCCATGATCCCTTAACAAAGTTCCTCATGTTGTGGTGACCCCCAACCATAAAATTATTTTCATTGCTACTTTCGTAACTGTAATTTTGCAGGATGTGTTTTCATTCACTGGACCAAATTTGGCACAAATACCTGATATGCCCAAATGTGAATACTGGTGAGGTTGGGGTGGTGGTGGTGGTATTGGTTTTGCCATTTGGGTGTTGTAGTTGATGGGATTTATAGTTAACCTACAATCAAAGAGCATTCTGAATTCCACCAGTGATGGAATTGAATCAGGCATGGCAGACAGAACTCCTGTGACCAACAGGAGATACTGGAAGGATTTGGTGGGCATTGACCTTGAGTTTGGGAGTTGTAGTTCACCTGCATTCAGAGAGCACTGTGGACAATGATGGATCTGGGCCAAACTTGGCAGAAATACTCTATATGCCCAAATGTGAACACTGGTGGAGTTTGGGGAAAATAGACCTTGACATTTGGGAGTTGTAGTTGCTGGGATTTATAGTTCACCTACAATCAAAGAACATTCCGAACCTCACCAACGATAGAATCAGGCCAAACTTCCCACACTGAACCACCATGACAAACAGAAAATTCTGTGCTTTCTGATGGTCTTTGGTGACCCTTCTGACACCCCGTCATGACCCCCTCAGGGGTCCTAATCCCCAGGTTGAGAAACGCTGGTCTATAGTGACTTGCAGGGTTTAGGCAGGGATATTTCTGGTTCCTACTTGGAGGTACCCAGGGTCTTCAATCTTTTGTATGTAAATGCAGGTGTCTACTAATGAACTTCAGTTTTCCCCATTAGATAACTGTGAGTAGTTGTTACTTTCATTCTCTGCTTTCTCTTTGGAGCTTCTGCGGTCCTGTCGCAAACATGGGTGGAAGCATTCTCAGCTTTTACTATGGTGCTTTTGCATCCTTTTCTATCTTGGATCACCTCACTTTCTCAGCTGGTTAACCATAATGGTTTACAAGGGCTGTTGTTAAAAAGAACAGGTGATTTTAGTAACCTCTTGTAATGTTTATTCTGTAGCTCACAAACCTCTAAATCTGGCATGCTGGCAAAGATGAACAGCTGGAGTTTATAACCCATCAGATTTCTTGTTCATGGTGTCTGTGTAAAAGCATGGCTTCGCAGGATGTTGTGAGCTTCTTCCAGCCTCTTTCCTCCTGGGTGTCGCAGTTCTTTGAGGCTCTCCAAGAAGCAGGTGACACCATATCTTCTTCATTCTCCAGTTTGGGAAACAGAGCCATTGAGGAAGGTGGGGATGAAGACTTAGAAAACAGTGAGGGGTCTTATGGACATCATTCCGACGGTTCAGACAATGAAAGCACCTTCAGCCAGGACAGTGAAGAGTCTGATCTCTTTCCATCATCCTGCCACGATGAACTGGGGTCTTCTTCTGCTTCAAGCTTGGGTCCATATTGGTATGAGGGGAAACGGATCCATCCCCAAGAAGAATATCTTGATGATGATTCTCTGGCTTCCTATGGAGCATGCCAAAGCTACAAGGGTTACCAAGTTATGGAAACACTTCCCACCATCCCAGAGGAAGAGGAACATCTCCTTTCCAAGCAGAGCAAAAACCTTCCACAGATCAGGGATGGTAAGTTGTTGTCCTCCTGCTTTGACAGTGACACTTGTACCAGCTTTGCAAAAAAACATGGAATTTATACCCAAAATATCAAGCCCATGTTGAGTTTCACTTTCGGCCTTGGTGATACTGTTACATAGTGAGTTTCTTTCACTGCGTACCATTCTCCTGGATCAGGGCATTACCAGAACTTGGAAAAATTATGTATGAAAGCTAAGCAAGCTTTCCAAACTCTGAGTAATATATAGCACCATTACATCATATTAAGGGCCACCCTAGTACAGTATTGGTATGGTATCTGTACAGTCTGCTATTTACATCCAGTCTCAATTGAGTATCGTGGTTTGTATAAGATGCTGGTCCTGACCTTTAAAACTTTATATGGCCAGAGTCCATTGTATCTTAGAGACCATCTCTCCTTCTACCATCATCAGAGGTCGCCACGACCATCCCAACGCGATTTGCTCTATATACCAGGTCCTAGGGAAGTGCACTTGGAAAGCACCAGCCTTCTCTGTTTCTGCCCCTTCCTTATGGAATTCCTTGCCTCCCTATTTGAGAGCCATGCGTGACTTAGGGCATTTTACCCTAGGACTTAAGACCTGGCTTTTTACTAGAGCATTTGACCCATGTTAATTTTAATATTTGTGTGTATGTGTTTTATCCTGTATAATTTCTGCAATGTAAATCGCCTGGAGCATCTCGGATGGAGGGCGATTAATAAGTAATTAAAGATGATGATGATGATGATGATGATGATATACCAAATCAACTACATACAATAATAGATTAAAACTATTAAAATTATAAACAACAATCACAAACACAACATAAAACATTTAGGCCTTGCATAGATCCCGGGGTTATCTTTAACAACTTCCATATTCCTGTCATTCACCGAATTCCTTCTTGAAAAACCAGGTCTTAAGTTGTTTCCTAAATGCTAAGAGGGAGGGGGCCAATCTAATCTCTATGGGGAGGAAGTTCCACACTGAGGGGCCACCACCGAGAAGGCCCTGTTTCTCATCCCTGCCAGTCGCACCTTCGAAGGTGGCGAGACCTAGAGCTGGACCTTCCCGGCAGAACTTAGTGTTCTAGCTGGCTCATAAAGAGAGATGCATTCAGACAGGTAAGCTGGACATTTAGGGATTTATAGGCTAAAGTCAGCACTTTGAATTCTGCTCGGTAGCAGACTTGCAGCCAGTGGATGATATAATCTAATACTTGGTCTAATTCAATTTATCTGTGTGCATGTGCCTTCAACCCACTTGTTGACATATGGTGACATGATACATTTCAAAGGGTTTTCTTAGGCAAGGAATACTCAAAGGTAGCTTTGCGAATTCCTTTTAAATATAGCCTACAGCACCTGAGATGCCTTGGCAGCTATCCATCCAAGTAATAACCAGGTTGACCTTGCTTAGCTTCCAAGATCAGATAGGATATAGGGCTTGAGGCAGTGGTTCTCAACCTGTGGGTCCCCAGATGTTTTGGCCTTCAATTCCCAGAAATCCTAACAGCTGGTAAACAGGCTGGGATTTCGGGGAGATTTAGGCCAAAACACCTGGGGACCCACAGGTTGAGAACCGCTGGTGTAGAAGGAATGCAGTTTAGCACCACTTCAATTGCCATGACTCAATTTTATGGGATCCTGGGCTTTGTAGTTTGGTAAAGCAGCAACACAGAAGGCTACAGACCTTGCAAAACTACAACTTCCACAATTCCATAATATTATGCCATGACAGTTAATGTGGGGTCAAACTTCATTCATTCTAGATGCACCACACAAAGGGTAGGAAAGAAAATACTTGGATGTACATCTCCATATGGAAATATCAATTTTCAGTCACTTAAGATGGTTGACGCATCATGTCCCAGAAATCTATGTGCTTTTAAGACTCACAATAACTTTCAGAGGGGAAAAGTGTTCATGGCACATGCTCAGAAATGTACTCTGATTTAAATCAATGCACAATAAGTGCACAAATGGTGGGTATTAGAAAACATACAGAAACATATGTACATTTTTAAAATGTGCACAAAAATGAGACACATTTCTATGAAGGAAAACACAAAGAGAGACTCTCCAGCCATGTAAAAATGGGAATTGATGAGAAATTGTCACATATTGCTATCATAGACATAGGACCACAAATCCCACCTAGCCAACATGGTCAGTGGTTGGGGGATGATAAGCCTTACAATTCAAAAATGGGGGCTGTCAGCTTGCTTGGTTGTTTCTCCTTTAATTAAACCTGAGCAAGTTATTGGAAAAACCAGTGTAGTTGAGTGGTTTGAGCGCTGGATTATGACTCTGGAGGGTTCGAATCCCCGCTTGGCCCTGGAAACTCACTGGGTGATGGTGGACAAGTCACACTCTCTCAGCCTCAGAGGGAAACAAAGATAAACTCCCTCTGAACAAATCTTGACAAGAAACCCCATGTCAGGTTCTCCTTAAGGAAATGACTCGAATGGCTTGAGGGTATTTGATAGTGAACCCTATTTTCGAAGTAGCTTCAGCACTTTGGATAGCTCCTTTTAAATTTCAGGCACAAGTTCTCCACACAACAGCATGGGAGCCACAAGCTACCATTTTGATACAATAAAAAATACAGTGGACCCTTGATATCTGCTGGGATTTGGTTCCAGTGCCCCCTGTGAATGGCAAAATCAATGGAGTCCCAAGTTCATATTCAATGGTGTAGTAAAATGGTGCCCCTTATGTAAAATTGTGAATCAAGGTTTGCCTTTTGGAATTCCTACAGGGTGAGTCCATTCAAGCCAGGGATGGTTGTATCTGTGGATGCAGAATCTGTGGATATGGAGGGGTGACTGTATAGATGGATATCTAATGTCCCGCCTGTCCCTTAGATGAAGAAGAATTAGTTCTGCCCTTGGAACCCTCAAGCTGTTCTTCCTTCACAAGCTCATGCTCTGCTGCCTACCGTTCCCCACTCTTACACATCTTGGGAGCCTTTCCCTGGCAGAAAACATATGAAAATCTCAGGAGAGTGTGGCTGCCGGTGCCTCGATGATTCTGTATCTGAGAGAAAATGTTAGTGGAAATGATAGTGTTAGAGCGTTTGCTTATCTTGTTGTGTGGTTAGAAATAAATCTGAGTGAGCAGATGGGCAGGCAGGATGGGTGACATTCTGTTAAAGGAAAATACAAAGGGATGTCGCGTAGAATAAATGTGTTTTCTTCTCAAAATTGCGAACGATTTTCTCCACGCTTTTTTAGCTCAGTAAGCTCTTTGTTATTTTTTGTTCTTTATGTTTTTCTTCTTCTTCTTCGTCTCTTCCTCCCTTGTTGCTTTCTCAATTTTGTTTATTCTTCATGCACCCATCTTCTTCTCCGCTCCCCAAAACATAATAGAAGCTTTTAGCAATAAATTGGCACAAAACAAGAGCGACACTTGAATGCTCTTTGTTGCCATAGGAGCGCCTCTGGCAGATCACAGAAGGGCCCTTTTGCTAATAGTAGAGTACCGGAAGAAAATAGACACTCCATCTAGTAATTGCTGATGATTAAGAAGCAAAGAACCCTTATGTTCTCGTTTTAGCACAGACTTTACTCTGTGCGCATGTGTTTCCTCTGGGGGCGAAGTGGAGGGAAGGAACAGGAAAACTAGTGTCTTAAGATGAAGGATTTACAGGAAAAGAAAGCATAGCAGTTAAAGCAAAAAGGAGAGACTTGGAATCAGTGGGTGAAGACAAGTGTAACCTTTGTAGAGCAGTTGGGGTTCTTTATAAGTGCTTTGCTATGTTCTTTCCAAACCAATATTTTCTGCTCCTGGGACAAAGACTCATTCTGAAATTTTCGGTTTGTACAGATAGATAGTAAACATTTGTGTTCTCAAATCTTTGTACAGATGCCAAAAAACGTGGCAGAAGCTGAAGTTTGAAATATGCATGCTTTACAGTTAAAATCCTTATTTCCTTTATTTTGTAAGCCCAATTCAAGCACAGGGAAATTGCTTTTTTTTTTTGGTGTCAGGAACAACTTGAGAAACTGCATGTTATTTCTGGTGTGAGAGAATTGGCCATCTGCAAGGACGTTGCCTAGGGGATGCCCAGATGTTCCGATGTTTTACCATCCTTGTGGGAGGCTTCTCTCATGTCCCCACATGGGGAGCTGGAGCTGACAGAGGGAGCTCATCCACACTCTCCCTGGATTTGAAATTCTAATCTCAGTCTCCAGTCCTGCCAGCACAAGAGTTTAACCCATTGCATCCTCAGAATAATAAGCACGCAGTCCAATTCAAACACAGAGAAATTGCTGGAACCATATTCATTTTTCTGATATACTCATGTATATACCCAGCCTTGCCTGGGTATGTATTTCCTTTGTGGCTCGTTCTTTCCGTCCTCCATTTTTTTCATATTTTTTTGCTCTCTTCTCCTTCTTTCTTTCCTTCTTTCCTTCTTTCTTTCCTTCCTTCCCGTTGTTTTCAGTCCCATACCTTCCCCCTTTCTGTTTGTCTTTCCTTTCTCCTTTTTTCCTCCCTCCCTTCATTTCTTTTTTCTCCCCTTCCTTACACTCTCCTTCTTTCTCTTTCTTTTCTTCCTTCCTTCATACCTTTTCCCTTTCCTTTTCATCCTTCCTTCTTTCCATTTATTTTCTTCCTCCTCCCTCCTTTTCTTTTCCTACTTTTCCTCTTCCCTTCCCCTCATTTACATGTCACCTAGCAGCAGCCAGTCAGCTTTGTTCCTTTTCTTTACCTCAACTCTTGGTCCAAAAAAGTTTTTTAAAAAGTTGAAATCCCCCAATTATTTTAAGTTGGGTAATGAAGGGTATGTGTGCCATATTTGGTCCAGTTCCATTAAGATATCTAGGAACATTTGTGGTATAAACCAACCAACCAATCTATCTACTTTCTTAGGTTGACTTTTATTCATATAGACCAGTGGTTCCCAACCTTTTTAGGACTAGGGACCACTTTGACAAGAGACCACTCTCCAACATTAGTACCAAAAGAGTTACAAATCAGGTTTTGGTCAACTTTAGAGTTG